AAAAATCTAATTTGTTTTGCGTTTTCGTAAAAGTTAAGTCTAAAAAATTAATATAGTTATCCTGTTCAATCTCGATAGTGAATTTTATACGATTATGTAAATTAAATTCAAAATAATTTTGGTCTAAAGATACTATTAAGCAATCTAATAAATCTTGTTTCACCATTGAATCAACCTGTTTCCGAGTTAGGGTGAAATCTACCAAAATCTATCACATCCATAGGTGGAATACTGAGAAATAAATTTTGTACATCAAAAGACAATAGTGTTGGGCTGGGTTTAATTTTGTTGATCAATTTATCACTAAATAGTGTGGAGTTTGTAATTACTTCCTTGACTTGTCTTTGATTCAACTCGATAGGATCGTGTTTGATACATTGGAAAAGTTCTGGTTTAACAAAATTGTTGGTTTTTGAAATATATTCTGGGAGATCGATAGCTATGACCCTTCCCTTTATCTGCACATGTAAATATTATGTTATTTTCAGAAGCTTTGTTTTTGATAGTTTTTACTACTGACATTTGAGAAATTTCTTTGTGTTTGTAGTTATCTGTTAATTGTAACAGTCCAATTCTCTATTAATGTACGAGTGTTGTAAGTTAAAGTCGAAACCTTTTTCCAGAAATTCAACTTCATTTTTAGGCTACAATGCGTCCATTATAGATAAAATTATAAATAAAAAACAAATCCAGACAACAGTAAACTCTATTTATCCTAAATCTAATACAGAATACGATCAACTTAAAACAATTACATACATAGCAGAACCTAGTGAATAAGTTTCAAAACATTTGTCAAAATGTGGTTTAAAAATAGCTTTCAGAACTAACAACACAATAGGAAATTTTTTAAAAAAACAATCAAACGAAATGTCCATAATCTCAAAAAGTTATATTGGATAACCAGAAAGAAAAACAATAGTCTAGATTCTAATTATGCTACACACTTAAACACAAAAAAACACATTTTTGACGACAATTTTGATATTTTACGTACAGCCACAAAAAATAGGAAATTAAATTTATTGGAAGCCATGGAGATTAACAAAATGAGACATTCAAATGTATTGCTTAACGGTCAATTATATTAGATTTAAATACCTCTCCTTTATTGAACTTATATTCTCACAGCAACTTTAATTAAGGTTTTATTGTCATTTTTCGGTATATATGGTAGCAGGTAGTTTGTAAATATTACATTTGATAAAGACACGGTGTTGTTGGAACAATTGTCATGTCAAAATATATAATTTCGTGAAAATCTGAACTTTCATTTCTTATTTATTTTGATAACTAGCGTGTTTTAAAATATCTTTGGGCAGTGTCTCGTTCTTGCTGCAATGCGCGCCGCTGAGGCGGGAATGAATTCGGTAAACATTTTCGATTGTCGACACGACATCGTTTACCATCGACGTCGCGATTTGTCGGAGTAGTCGTCGCGACGCAAACTCTGGAACGAGAAACGATGTCGATATACAAGGTAATCCCGGGGTGGAGGTCGTGGGGTGGGGGCGAACGTTTGCGTCTCTTCTTCGGAAAGCTTCTCCACAAAGCGACCGCCACCACGGCGAAGTCTAATTCGTTACTTCCGTCTCTCGTCGCGCGTCTCCTCCGGAATAGTTTCACCGAAACAATGCAACCCGAATGGCAAAGGAGCCGCGTTCGATTAAACCGTCCCCGCCGTCGCCTCACCCCTCCGCCCGTCACACAGATAACCCAATTTCGGTCCTTCGGTGCCGAACAAAAACCCACGTAATTCGCAAACCGTATAGTCCGTCTAAGGAACGCTAGTTGATTTCTCGGTCGCAATGAAATTGACCTGACGGTAGCCTCGGCCGTAAAACCACATAATTTTTAGCCACAGTTGTTCCTAATTGGGAAGAAGCGGATGTGAGAGCCTTAGTTTTAAATTTTCGGACGTCTTTAGGGCTAAAAGAAAATGCGGAAACCAGAGAAATTGTAAGCTTATTGATCTCTTAGTTGTTTGAGGCGCAAATTTCAGCACCGACCACTCAGAAGTGCGATGGATGGATGTTTTCGCCTCCACGCCACGTCCCGAAAGACGCAAATTTTGAGAATGTCTGTTCAATAGGCGCATGCGCGAGATTTAATCAATGGCCGCTGACAAGTTCGTCAATGTTTGTATGCTGCATTTTTACAGCAGTATTTTCTCAAAATATGTCGAAATCCCATTAAGTTTTAAGACAAAATAGCAATTAAGGTGTGGAAGGGGCTATTCAAAAAATTTACAAGTCCAGGGTTAATATTACGCTGAATTACAGCGCACGTATAATTAGTATAATTTTGTAAGTAATTTGGCTATAATTAGCTATTTTTCCCAGAATTTGTGCCCGTAAATCGGCGCAAACAGTTTTTATAAACTCATAGGTTTAAATGTAAATAAAATCGAATTAACGAAGTGTAAATATAACTTTGAGGTATGGTCTGTTCAAAAAGTGACCAATTGCTTTTGAAAGGGATTATCCAAGGGTTGTCATTAACATACAAAGCAACAAGATTATTACCTACTGGAATTTAAATTCAGGTAAAATTGTGGTCCGTAATAGAACATAATTTTATACCTACCTGTGTTTAATATTCTTTGGTTTGGTATACTACTTAGTTTAAGTTTATTAGTAATCATTCTTATTTCGTGTGTTGAATCGTGTGCGAATTATTCAAAATATGTGCGAATCGAGTGTATCTTAGGAGATGCTCCCACCCAAATATTGAAAACACTATTTTATTGAGACTAAGCAAGTTATAAACAATGGTTATTTGACTCTCATTGAACGTGGTGCCAGCAAGCAAGCATCTTTAGAAGAAACGGCCAAATTGACGAAAATTCCAACATGAACTGTAGGGAAAATTGTGAATAATCCCATTTCAGCGAGGAAAAAAAGAAGCGATGCTGAGATTTTCTCGAGTGTAGATGAAAGTGATCAAGATATAATACGGCGTAAAATTTACCAGTTATACGAGGAACAGAGCGTGCCTACATTAGATATCTTAATTAGGAGGCTGGAAAAAGATGAAACCGGTGTTAAATGTGGCAGAACTACCTTATGGAAGTGTATTCAACACATGGGTTTTAGATTTAAAAAAATTGACCAAAGGGCAAGTTTTAATGCAATCTTTTCGAATTCAGAAATGGCGACTGGAATATCTAGAAAAAAATAGTATTTACAGAGAACAACAAAGGCCAATTATTTACTTGGATGAAACCTGGTTCGACACTTATGATACCCCGGAAAACGGTTGGGTTGATTCAACTCATAAGTGTAAAACAAACGCGAAATCAAAAAGAGGTAAAAGAGTAAGAGTATTTTGCATGCTAGCTCTAAAGATAGTTGGATTCCAAATGGACTTTCTCTGTCTGCGAAAAATATTAAAGATTCTTCTCTGGATTATTCTGATTTATTTGAGAGTTGGTTTAAAAACAAACTAGTTCCAAACATTCCTCCTAATAGCGTAATTGTAATGAACAATGCAAGTTTTCACAGTAGACAGTTGACTAAAACCCTTTCCTCATGTGACGCAAAAGCCACAATCCAAAACTTCACGAAGATTATATCAAAAAGCAATTAATTGAGGTTCTACAATGCTTGAACCTACAAAAGGAACACAGAAACCGAAGTTTTAGTTAGAGGTATCCTGTCCGATTATGTAATGAGTTAATGTAATTTAAAAAACAATTCAATTGTCTGTGCGTTCCAACAAAGCAAGCAAAGACATCATCCGCGTATCTATACTACCATAGAAAACTTTTACTTAAGGGATGTTCTAGTATGAAATTTTTCAAATTATCCATGAAAGTCTCGGCTAACAAAAGACTAAGTGGGTTTCCCATAATCAAACCTTCCTTAGAGATGTAAATCTGTCCATTAAATTCAAAACAATTTTGGTCCAAAGATGTTATTAAGCAATCTAATAAATCTTGTTTCACCAATGGGTTAACCTGTTTCCAAGTTAGGGTGAAATCTACTAAATCGATCACACCCATAGGCGGAATACTGGGAAATAAGTTTTGTACATCAAAAGACAATAGTGTTGCTTTAACACTAATGCAGACGAACATAAAAGAGCGTTTAAAAACAATAGTCTAGATTCTAATTATGCTACACATTTAAACACAGAAAAACACATTTTTGACGACAATTTTGATATTTTACATATAGCACAAACAAACAAATGTATTGCTTAACGATCAATTAGATTTAAATACCTCTCCTTTATTGAACTTAAATTCTCACAACAACTCTAATTAAGGTTTTATGGTCATTTTTCGGTATATATAGTAGCAGGTAGCTTGTAAATATTACATATGATAAAGACACTGTACGACATTTGAAATAAATATTTCTAAAAAGGAATCGGAATCTGTAGGCACGAGTGACGGTTCCCGATGGATCCTGCGATATCGTTTTTCATCATCCCCGCCCCCGCCGACGGTAGGACAACCGGTCCGAGGTTCGGTTTTCTCGGAACAAAGAAAACAGCGGACACGACTCGGGGGCTGCGGGGCGGGGGACGGCCGTCGTGTATCGCGTTACACCACTTGAAATTCACTTATATAACGTATCGAGTTGCGGAACGCAAGATCGGGCGGCCGTTTTTTTCGCCGCCCCCCGCGGGGACGGCGATGTTTTATACCCCCGGGGCGGCAATTGCACACGCCGGATTTTATACGACCCAATAAATTTAGCGGCGGCCGCTTTATTGTACATTGTTGCCGCCGCTGCTCGGTTTCATTATCTCGTCCCCCCGCCAATCCGTATAAAAAAATACGGTCCTAATATCGCGCGCACGGATTAAGGGCGGCCGGACGCGGAAAGGGTGTCGACACCCACTGGGTCCCCAATGATTGCCCCTTTTGACTCGCGAAGAAGCCCGGGGGTGGGTGTGGGGGTGGCAAAGATTTCGCGCGAAAGCAATACCATCGATTTCCCTTTTTCCGCGGGGTTAATTTTCTCCTGCCCGATACATGTTTATACGTGTAGGTGTTGTCACATAGAGCGGGTCGTCATGGCTACGACGCGAGCGCCCAGAGCTCCGGCGGGATGCTGTCAACGGCACGCCGCCGCGTCGGCGACGCCGCCAGTGCGTCCGAAACGTCCGTCGGGTTGGCCACGACGCGTCGCGACGCCCAAGTCCTGCCGACGTCGTCCGAGACGTCGACGGTGGTGTGTATGTGTGTGGCCGTATGTCAGCCGAGGTAAGTCTATAAAACTGCAGCCGTCCCGGACTCGGACAGGCTTCCGGGCGACCCTGTCCGGAATAAAGCGCCGCTCCAACGTCGGGACCCTCTCTCGACGGGGAGTGAGTAATTACAATTTCGAACGCGGAGTTGAAATCGGGTCGTCTTTTAGCGGCGGCCTCGAACGAGGGGGGATGGAAATCGGTAATCAAGCAATTAGGATAACGCGCGGATACAATGGGGAACGATGACGACGACGCTAAGTTCAGCGGGGCGGGGTGTAGTAATTTTCATCCTGAAAAATGACAGATGATTAATTCGAAAACCTATAAATCCTCCAGTTTTCAATAGGGCCTTAAAAAAAGCGCCACTAGCGTATTTTGAGGGTCCTCCCGAAAGGAGAGACGGATTAGGGGGAGGTTCCACCCTCCCGGCGGCCCTAATTGAGCGTTAAACGAGTTTTGACGGTATCCCATCTACATCTGTTGGTACACACACGCGACAAGGTTTAATCTGCAAGCTCCGCCTTCCCCCGATGTCGACCCGATCGCTACGCGACGGTACTCTACCCAAAATGGCGTACGTTCGTTAGTTGTCAGCACCTCAGATGTCAAAACTCATTGTCTGTCACCCAGGGAGTAGCATTCGTTCATAATAATATTTATTTTCCAACTACAAAATTGTACAGGAATAGTCAAAATACATGATAGGTACAATAGACATAGATATATAAAAAAAATAGTAACTAAAAAAAAAACGTTTTTTAAATAGACAAGGTTTTGTCTCGTAACTCCAATGGCAGATTCTTGAACACTTAAATAATCAGGCGATCTCGAAGTCATCGACAGCCTACATTAGGGAACATGCAGGTCATCGCTCTGTCATGTATTGTTAGAATATACGTCACCAACTAACTTAACATTCGATAAAAACCAATAGACTCGCAAGATGAAAACTAAAGCGACTGTTGCATAGTTAAAATCTCACAAAGTTTTATAAAAAGATAATTTAGAGTTGAAATAAGAGTATCTCGATGAGACCTCCAATTGAAACATTCACGTAAACTCAATCCTAGAAACCTTACAGTATATCTACTTGTGATAGTGTCATTGCCTAAACAGATATTAAAATTATCACATTGTTTCGATATAGATTCATTTTTCTAAACCATCTCATCAATCTGTCGAGTACGCCACATCACGATTAAAACTGAACCTTGAGGGACACCCATCGCTATGCGTTGACCTTTTGAATTTACAGTCATCTACAAAATTAATTAGTCTCTCTAAGAAAGCATACTCAAACTCTTTAGAAGAACTATTTGAAATTGTTATCTTACGATAGTTTTCTCGCAATTGTCCTAACCGAAAAATGTTATCTCTAAATGCTTTAATTCGGGAGATAGAACGGAGAGAAAAGAAAGGTAATGTGAGACGTCGATACGGACTTACACACACAGGACTTATTACCGAGACAGAATGCGAACCGGACCTGAAGGATGATCGGCCACTACATTTAGAAGTGAGGAGTTGCAAGATTTTATGGTGATAGATCAGGATTTGCCTACAACCGCAGAGGAAGCCGTATTACCACAAGCAAGAACGGGTGAGGAAGAAGACCACCACCAACCATTCAACAAAGTACGAGATGCGTATTGGCATACTAAAAAATTCAAACGAAAATGAACGATTATTTGAAACATTAAATGTAGTTCTTAAATATTTATACAAAATGTTCCTAAGTAGATGTTAAAGTATGTATATAAAATATTGGTATTTTTTAAGTGCGTATACAACACAAAAAAAGCAGTCCCTTCAATTTCGCTATATAGAGTTTCCACTGTACATCGATCGAACTTTTTTTTTTTTTGAATCGGTAACATACTCAAAGCGAGGGCGCTTAAGTTCCTCATCTGCCGCCCATTCTGGAGACCGTTTCCGTTGCGACGGTATTACTTACGATCCTGCGGATCCTGGCGTCTGCAGATAACAGACTTACGCCCGTTAACTACGATCGTCTGGAGGTTTGGACCGAAACGACTTCCAATAACGGAAGAAATCCTGGCGACTACAGCGGTAATACCGCAAAACCTCTTTTTTTACCGCCGCCCCCTATCAATTTATTGTCGCGGCTCTGGCAGGCGTAAAGGAAAGATTTTCCACGCGGGTCTCTCGGGCTGACACTGCGGATGAGGTTCGCGCTCCGCTGGAAATTCAATCCGCGGAAAAATAACACGGATCGGTTCTTAAGAGGGAACGGGGGGCGGGGGGCTCTAACGAGGATGTTTTCAGCGAGCCTCTGGGGTTTTATCTGCGTTTTAGCGTCGCCGGTTGAAATTCGCAAACCCGTGGGTGTCGGTATTTCGATGCAAAATAAGTTCAAGCTAGAGGGGGAGGGGGGATCTCGAGGCGATGACCCCTATTTATCCGGAGGTAGGGTCAAGCGGACCCTTATATCCGGCTGGTGGAAATCGGGAAATATTGCGTTTTTTCCCGTCCAATATCGTCGGTTTCGCGGCCTAAGCCCAGTTTTCGAAACACGCGTCCTTACGAGGCCAAGAAAAAATTTAATATCCTGGATGGGTTAGACGGAGCACCGTCTGCCGAAAGACGGAGCTGGGATACAATAAAGATTACGGGATATATATGCTCTTAGACGGATCTACGTAGGTAATGATCGCTTTTCCTAGAATACGAGCAAATTATTTTCTTTTTCATTTATTTTTATTTAGTTATTTATTTTATAATGAATAAAATTTACAACGTCTATCGACTCCATTAAAGCCATTATTTCCAACTTTTAAGTCAAAGATGACCCTCCATATTACCGCGCCATACGTTACACATATTATTGCTGTTTTCCTGGTGTTTGGAAGTTTGTTTTGATCACACCACTGGCAAAAAATAACAATCCCAGTCAGTTCTCAGACCTTCGGCCAATCAGTATTCTCCCAACCTTATCTAAAGTTTTGGAGAAAGTAATAAATGTATAAATCTATTATTACGTTAATTCCAATCACATTGTCACTAACAGTCAATATGGATTTCGTAAGGGTTTTAGTACTATTAGTCTACTTTTACACATCAACGATCACATTATTAGTTATTGCGACTGCACTTATATCTTTAACTTACTCTAAAGCCTTTGATCGGCTTGACCATAAACTTATGTACGCCTACGGCTTCGACTCCATTTTTTCAAAACTACTTAGCTAACAGATATCCGAGAGCTATTCTTGACAATGTAAATTCTGAACTTCTCCCTGTTTCGTCTGGTGTACCGCAAGATTCTGTTCTTGAAACTATATTATTCTTATCAAACTCTTGACTGGAACCTTCGGCACTGCACTAACACGCAATAACGCATTTTACCACAAACCGAAACTCAATTTTATGACACTATAGTCCGGGATATCATCCGTTCGCTCGTTGAACTCGGACTGGAATCCTGCAGACGTTTCGCCAAAATCTCACTTGGCATCTTCAATGCTCGCGCTCCGAAAACACTTCGAGCACTGGTGTTCGAAGTGTTTTCAATGTATGTATGTAAATGAAACATAAATAACAAATGTTAATACTGTTCAAATTGGTGATCTGCAACATCAATACAATTCTGAGTACGAGTCACCACTGATTCTGTACATCGTATCAAAACGTCCAATGAGATTTCTCTACACACTACTTGAATCTCATTCCAAAGAATGTCTAGGTTACGTGGTTTACGTTTGTACCCCTCATCTTTTACTGTGCCCCACCAGAAGAAATCCAGAGGTGTAAGGTCTGGAGAGCGTGCTGGAAACTCGATTGGCCCCCTGCGTCCTATCCACCGGCCCGACAAATTTTGATCCAGGTAAGCTCGTACGTCCCTGTGATAGTGCGGCGGAGCACCATCTTGTTGAAAATAAAAATCATCATTACCGTATAATGCACGAATGGCAGGAAATATGCAATCAGCAAGCATTGTTAGGTAATTAATACCAGTTGCAGTGCCTTCAAGTCGAAAAGGTCCAATGAGTCCCCTTGAAGACAAACCGCACCACACATTTACACCAGGAAAATTTACAGCTTTTTCATTTGTAATGTGAAGATTTTCTTCACCCCAGTAAACACAATTGTGCCTGTTGACAGTTCCATTAAGTTTGAATTGGGCTTCATTCGACCAAATGATGCTACTCATAAATCGCGGTTCACGTATCACCTTCACACATTGCAACCTTCGATCTGGATCGTCGTCATTTAGCTGTTGCACCAGCCTTGGAATGTAAACACGATACTTGCCTCTCTTCAGAATGCGTAGCACGCTGCTAGCACTTACGTCACTTTCACGTGCCCCTTGCCTTGAAGATTTGTTAGGAGAGCGTTGAAACAGTTCCAAGACTGCCGTTGATGACTCATCACTTGTAGCTGTTCGAGGCCGACCTGAATGACCTTTATGCACATCACACACTGTTTCATGAACTTCGAATTTGTCTCGTATGCGTGTAATTGTTAATCTTATCTTGAAGGTGGTTCTGTATCATACTCCCTTCTCCACTGTCTTTGAACTTCATTTACATTCTCAAACTTCCAGTTCCACTTAATAACCTGCTTACGTTCTTCAAAACTCAAACGTACGTTCCCCATGTTGATATTACAAATTCCAACTGATAATATAACATAGAGGGACGATTATGCTGGCACCTGGCGAAGAAATATAACATTAGCCTTGTAGAGCGGGAAAACTGCAATAATTTAAAGTGTGAATACATTTTTTTTGAAGCACCCTATATATATATATATATATATATATATATATATATATATATATATATATATATATATATATATATATATATATATATATATATATATATATATATATATATATATTCTCACGTATTGATTCACGGATGGAAAAATATGATGACACTATATTCCGGGATATCATCCGTTCGCTCGTTGAACTCCGACTGGAATCCTGCATCCGACTGGAATCCTGCAAATCCTGCATCCGACTGGAATCCTGCAGACGTTTCGCCAAAATCTCACTTGGCATCTTCAATGCTCGCGCTCCGAAAACACTTCGAACACTGAAGTGTTTTCGGAGCGCGAGCATTGAAGATGCCAAGTGAGATTTTGGCGAAACGTCTGCAGGATTCCAGTCGGATGCAGGATTTGCAGGATTCCAGTCGGATGCAGGATTCCAGTCGGAGTTCAACGAGCGAACGGATGATATCCCGGAATATAGTGTCATCATATATATATATATATATATATATATATATATATATATATATATATATATATATATATATATATATATATATATATATATATATATATATATATATATATATATATATATATATATATGCACGTCGGGAAGTGGGAGAGGGAATTACGCACTCTTCACGCAACCAATCAGCGCGTATAATGGGCAAAATGGAATTGGAACTCTGTCCTTGTTCAGTGCCTTATTCCCTCTCGTTAACAATTTCTAAGCTTTCGTAGACAATTTTCCATACAGTTGATGTTGGAATTTTCGTCAATGTGGCCGTTCCTTCTAAAGATGCTTGCTTGCTGGCACCACGTTCAATGAGAGTCAAATAAACATTGTTTATAACTTCCTTAGTCTCAATAGAATAGTGTTTCCAACATTTGGGCGGGAGCATCTCCTGAGATACACTAGACTCGCACATATTTTGCATAATTCTATTCACACGATTCAACACACGCTGTATTACACACGAAATAAGAATGATTACTAATAAACCTAAACTAAGTAGTATACCACACCAAAGAATATTAAACACAGGTAGATATAAAATTATTTTCTATTACGAACCACAATTTTACCTGAATTTAAATTCTGAAGCTCTAGGTAATAATCTTGTTGCATTGTATGATAATCACCACCCTTGGATAATCCCATTCAAAAGCAATTGGTCACTTTCTTATACCTATGAACAGACCATACATTATATTCGCACACACACAAATGTGGGAGGAAAATGAAATGTTAAACCGGGACTACTTAGCATAATCAGCTAATTTAACTATTTAATGCCCAGGTTTTCGAATGCTCCGTAAAAATTTAATACATTCGTGGAGGAGGATTTTGTTTTCTATTAACGATACACCCGGGAGACATATAATAAAAAAAATTAAAAATACAATCAAGCAAAGCAAACATGGTTACCGAAATCCCGTCCGAACTACGCCAAAACAATATCGGCTATTGGGGGAAAACAATGCGGGCCAATCTGACACGGACCCGTTATTTGTAAACACGTAGTCAGGGGGCAGAGATCGACGTACAGAGAGTGTAATGATAGCGGACAGCGTCACCTAGGCTCGCAATTAGGGACACAAGAGGGTGATTTGTTGTCGTGCGCCCCAGAACTCAATGGGGCTCCGGATTATTCGGCTTTTGATATGCTAATTATCGCGGTCGGACTATCGACAAATGAACGTCGTCCGTAATTTGCCCATTCGACCTCGCCTGATTAGGTATGTATACCGACCCGTCCCCCTGTCACCGCCGCCCGCCGCCGGTACGTACGTCACTGGCCGATTTCAATCGAGCCACGAGAAGCCGAAGATTCAAAAACACGGCTAGAGGAGGGGGCGGGACGCGAAACGCGAATTTTTCCCGTGAAAAGGGCGCTTTGTCGCGGGAAAATTGGTTTTTATCGCGGGCTCGTGGTAATTTCTAGCAAAAGGTGAACTCCGATTCGATCCCCCGCGGGGCTCGTGTCGCCAAACGCTTTCCGTAATAAATAACGAGCGGCGAGCGGGGGAGAGAACGAGGCGTCCCGGAAAATCCAAATTACGGAACGATCAAAGAGAACGCCCGGAAAAAATTGTATTCTTTTGTTTTTGCCGGTTCTTTTCGAGACGAAAAAAATGTTCCGTAATTGGGATGGGGGGAGAGGATACGCACGGTGGCGGGATGGACAAAGGGGTCGTCAATTTTACGCCCGTCCCGTATACGCTATATGGAACCTCCGCGTCTCGTTTAACGTCGGACTATTTCATAACTCGGTGGTCTACGATGTCCATTTTGTTATG